AGAAAAAAATATTTAATATATTTCTAAAATTTCAATATTTTATGTTTAATCATTAAAATGAAAATGGGTCTTGTAGAGAACTTGGGCTTCAAGTCATTGCTGAGCATAATTGGAAAAGGGGGAACTCCCAAATTTCACTGAGGCTTTGGAAAACCAGATCGATTTCAAGAAGAAGAAGAAATAAGAAGGGATGGACAAATTTCACTGAGGCTTTGGAAAACCAGATCGATTTCAAGAAGAAGAAGAAATAAGAAGGGATGGAGAGCGTATTCGGACTTGTGGGCAACGGATTCGTCATAGTGGCGGCGGATACATCGGCGGTGCACAGTATTTTGGTCCATAAATCCAATGAGGACAAGATCATGGTTCTCGATTCCCACAAGCTCGTCGCAGCTAGTGGCGAACCTGGCGACAGGTTTGAGATTTTTATTATTCAATTATTGTTTCTTCTCTAATCGTTTGCCTTTTGTCAATTGTGATCTTCCTCGTGTGATTGAATAGGGTTCAGTTCACCGAGTATATACAGAAGAATGTGTCTTTGTATCAGTTTCGCAATGGGATCCCCTTGACCACTGCTGCTGCTGCTAACTACACTCGTGGTGAACTCGCAACCGCCTTGCGGAAGGTATATCATTTCTTATTACTATTACTTTTATCCGATTAAAATTTCAGCTAACCTTGAATTTTCGATCCTGGGCTTTGAGTTTACATCGGATAAGCGGTTTCAATCATTTGTCAGCTAACCTTGAATTTTCGATCCTGGGCTTTGAGTTTACATCGGATAAGCGGTTTCAATCATTTGGTCATGATGAAATTTTTTGAATGGTTCTGTCTTCAATCTAACTTTTTGGAGCTTAAAATTATTCAAATGTCTAGACAGAGCGAGGAAATTTCTGTCATCTTTAAGAATGACTCACAGTGAAGAAATTTTTAGGAAAACCCTCGATTTCTGTCATTTTTTAAGAATGTCTCGCAGTGACAAGAAATTAGGCAGATAAACCTCTAGAGATATTGCATTCTATTTTTTTAAGAATGTCTCGCAGTGACAAGAAATTAGGCAGATAAACCTCTAGAGATATTGCATTCTATTAACACTTTGTTACTTGTTCTTTTTTTCTTGTATCAAGCTGATAATCATGACAATGTTCGTGTGTATTATATCCTGTTTCAGTCTTGCTCTTGGAATTGTCATCTTATTAGTTCATTCCTTATCATTAGGCTATTATATCCTGTTTCAGTCTTGCTCTTGGAATTGTCATCTTATTAGTTCATTCCTTATCATTAGGCAAGGCTTTCATTAAATCTTTGAATTAATAGTGACTTATGTCTTATAGGTCACCTCTTACTCTAGGAATTTCTTGTGGATTCTCGGTTTCTTTGTGATTTTATTTAATTTTACTAATGATTTTCCATGTTAGGAATTTCTTGTGGATTCTCGGTTTCTTTGTGATTTTATTTAATTTTACTAATGATTTTCCATGTGTTTTTCCAAATGTTAGTGACTGTCATAAAAATCAATTCTTGTTTACTATCATACCTTCTTAGTTTTATCGAACTCATTCTTCATGGTGCGGCCCCAGCAAGCACAAGCATGGTCTCTTTTTTTAGTCTTTCTTACTGAAGTGTGTGCATGCCAAATAACGAAGTTCATGGCGACTTGGGCAAAGATCACCTATCTTTAAGGCTAAGCTAGGGTAGAGTTATGCAGCTGTGATTTACTCTAGTGTAGATGAGCACATTGTGAAGGAGTTTTACATAGTAATTTGGTTTTTGTTGCTGTGAGCAGAATAATAAATGATCCAATTCTAGTTCTTTCTGCATTTGTCGATAACTGCGAGTGAGCTGTAAAAGGTATATAAGGAGTCTCGCTCTCCTGGCTTATTTGTTGTCATGGGAAATTAACTTGTTGGGTGGGTTGTAATTTGGTAAGACAAACCTGATTTCAACTGTGAACTTCTGATTTTCAGAATCCATATTCCGTGAACATTCTTCTGGCGGGATATGACAAGGAAACTGGCCCATCCCTCTATTACATAGACTATATTGCCACCCTTCACAAGGTTGAGAAGGGAGCTTTTGGTTATGGGTCTTACTTTTCACTCGCCATGATGGATAGACATTACCATAGTGGCATGACAGAACAAGAAGCCATTGATTTGATTGACAAATGCATACTGGAGATTAGGTCCAGGCTTGTTGTAGCCCCACCGAACTTCGTTATCAAGATTGTAGACAAGAACGGAGCTAGGGAGGTTGCTTGGCGCGAATCTATCAAGGATGGAGCTAGCTTTCCCTCAGCTTAAGATTTAAATGTTATATCTGCAGAGGCTTGCTTTTCTTGCTGCCTTAACTTTGTATGAGCTGCTAGCAGAGTGTATTCTACCCTTCTCTTCCCTAGTTTCAGACATTTTTATAGCGTAATGTTGCAGTTAACATTTCTTGTTCCTGAATACATGAGCAAACAAACAAAATGTGAACTTCAGCGTAATGTTGCAGTTAACATTTCTTGTTCCTGAATACATGAGCAAACAAACAAAATGTGAACTTCTATAGATTGATTTATCATCTGTTGTGCTGAAGTTCAAAGGTGCTACTTATGGTTTTATCATAATTGAGTTTGAAAAGTGGGAGATTTGAGAAAGCAAGATCTTAACAAACCAGCTTCAGCGTCCAAAGAATTTGCTTTTCCCTTTGCTTGAATTCATAAAGAACTTCCAAACAGATGACCTGTTCCTTAGGTCTGTTATTTGAGCTGTACAACTGTGACCTTGAGTTCATAATGAAGTCCGATTAGATTACTCTTAGGTCTGTTATTTGAGCTGTACAACTGTGACCTTGAGTTCATAATGAAGTCCGATTAGATTACTCTGTTTTATCTTTTCTAGTCTTTAGAAAGGTCAAATTACCACCCTAGCTTCCACTTTTATCTTTTCTAGTCTCTGATGATCTCCATTCTTATCTGATACCCGGATGCATTTTCTGCCTATCTATGTATCATTAAATACTACTCTTCGAATCTTTTTTTTAACTTTTATATGAATGATGTGATATATATTCCATTTTGGCAAGAGACCCCTCTAATTTTTAATGAGACAAGCATCATTCATTTCATTTTTGTATCAAGGAAGCAATTAGAGAGCTCAAGAGAATTAAGATGAGACAAGCATCATTCATTTCATTTTTGTATCAAGGAAGCAATTAGAGAGCTCAAGAGAATTAAGAGGATTCCCACAAAAACTAATCCAATCCGAGAATTAAGGATTCTCACAAAAAAAAAAAAACTTCAATTAATAGATGTCTGCTTTAACCCGTTATGTATTACTATCAGCCTCACGGTTTTAAAATGCGTCCACTAAAGAGAGATTTTCACTCTTTCTGAAATGCATACTCCTGTTTTAATCAATAAAAAGGACGTGGACTCTAAAGAGGAACTAATCTTTTTACTTTCCAGCTCCCTTCATATTTTATGAAAATAATACCAATTTCTCAAAGGGTTAGGAAATCTTTTTACTTTCCAGCTCCCTTCATATTTTATGAAAATAATACCAATTTCTCAAAGGGTTAGGATTACGATTGACCAGACACAGAAAGTTATAAAAGTCCTAGCCAAGAACAGTTGAAAGGTAAAACCCAGAATACGCTTCCTTCACGTCATTAATAAAGTTGAGCCATCCAAGTCTACAGCCTTGACGGCTAAGTTTTCTTGGGTTCTTTCCTGATGAAGAAATTAGTGGCTTGTTAACCGACCCCCATATAACATTCATTAGGTGTCAAAGCCCCAAGTTTGAACAACTTTACCTCAAAAGCTCCACCACAGAAAACTGTTAAGAAAGTAGGAAAAGTGGTTCACCAAATCAAACTTCTTTCCTTTTGTCCATTTCTTCCTTCCATTCCCTACAAAAACAGAACAATTCTGCTCTGAAACTTCACAAATCAAACTTTCTACCTTCTGAGTTCTCAACAAGTTGTTAACTGTCTTTACCATTCTCAGAAGCAGTTGTAATAGTATCTACCTTCTGAGTTCTCAACAAGTTGTTAACTGTCTTTACCATTCTCAGAAGCAGTTGTAATAGTACTCCATAGCAGAATGGCACAGGGAAAGATGGTGATGGCTCTGCTTGCTGTTATCGTTGCCGTGCACTGGGCAGGAGCAGCGGCACAGTCGGACTGTACGAATGTGCTGATCAGCTTGTCACCGTGCCTTGCACTGGGCAGGAGCAGCGGCACAGTCGGACTGTACGAATGTGCTGATCAGCTTGTCACCGTGCCTGAATTACATTACAGGGAACTCTTCTACCCCATCACAAGGATGCTGCACACAGCTTGCAACCGTTGTCCGCTCACAACCACAGTGCTTGTGCCAGGTCCTGAATGGTGGTGGTTCCTCGCTTGGGGTCAACATCAACCAAACCCAGGCTCTGGCTCTGCCCCAGGCTTGCAATGTTCAGACTCCTTCCATCAGCAGCTGCAATGGTAAGCATTCATTCATGTGTAAAATTTCTGGGCACCACTGCACATAAACTATGAGCAGGAGGATTATTTATGTATAGACATTAGGGTTATGAACAAATATCAAACTCTAACTAAAGTGCTAACTGTTAATACCTGAAAATTGCCAGTTGCTTCTCCCACCGGCTCTCCAGCAGGATCACCGGAATCTTACTGTTAATACCTGAAAATTGCCAGTTGCTTCTCCCACCGGCTCTCCAGCAGGATCACCGGAATCTTCAAACAATGTTCCTTCAGGTATGTACATAACAAACGCTTAACGGCATGCTGTGTCGTTTCTTTCGTATGACAACTACATAATTAACTTACCTAATTGTATATGCAGGAACTGGATCTAAGACTGTTCCATCACCTGACAACTACATAATTAACTTACCTAATTGTATATGCAGGAACTGGATCTAAGACTGTTCCATCACCAGACAACAACTCATCAGACGGAAGCTCCATCCATTTGTCAAAACCTCTACTATTCTCCATCTTGTTGGCTTCTACATATGCTTCAGCTTTCAAGTTGTACTGATCTTCTTATCAGTTGCCTATCTTCTACAAGACTACTTTATGGTTGGTCCATTTATTGCGTTCAGATTCTTTTGGAGTGTCCATTGTTTTAGGCATCCCTTTGGTTGAGGGTGGTTCTATCTTTATATTCTTCTCATGGCATTTGTTTCCAAGAACTTTGTATTGCATCAGAGATTCTTTTGAATAAAATACATGATTCTGTGTTTGTGAGTACTAAAATACTTTCATCAGTGGTTAGAAACAGAAGGTATATAAAACATTAAAAAGAAGTAGAAGAAGAAAGAATCATCTACAAATAAATTTGAATGAAGTTCCAGATAAATTATCTTTATTTTTCAATAACCACAGGTATAAGAAGCCTGCTAATGTAACTCGACTATTTGCTACTTCAAACGAACTGTTAATGGAAGGAGCCGATTTAGTATGTTTCTGTGACCCTTACGTTAATCCCATGGCAGTTGGGCTACAATTTCTCCCCCTTTAATTTAGTATGTTTCTGTGACCCTTACGTTAATCCCATGGCAGTTGGGCTACAATTTCTCCCCCTTTATATTGGCAATTTGGAAGAAACTGTCAGCCTAAAATCAAAAGAATTAAGAAGAAAGAACTTGTTGGGCTAAAATTTAAGGTTGGAATCGAAGAAGGAAGAAGAAACCAATTGCTAGGCTGAACTTGATGGTTATAGCAGAAGGATCGAAGAAGTGAAGATGGAAAAAGTCAGCCTAAAATGCACATCTTCACGCAGTCATCATCTTGTGTCACCATGATAAATGGTCATAAAAAGAAAATGAAGCAAAGATGGCAAAAACCTTGATGAAGCTACTATCCTATAATAGCCCTCAAGCGACCAATGACTACCTATGGCAAGAAGTGTGCCTTGAAAACATGAGTCTGTATAGCTTAAAGTCGTGAAGTCAAGCCTAAACTATGAATTTCCTAATTGCACAAACTACATTGATGACTAAAATGTACAAAAGAAGGGGGAAATCCCAGCCACCATAGGTGAATACAAGAGAAAAAGACACCACCAATTATCGACTACGGTAGAATGACTATAACCAGCAATCGGGGATGAGCATTACACTAATACAAGGCAGTACAAAGAGAATTATCCGAAAAGATATCAAAGGGTGGAGACTTATTACTGAAAGAGAGACGAATTTATTTCTTGACAAAGAGTCCAAAACAAATGGCTAACAAACACGAAGCTTCTCTTCGTCTTTAAAAGGAAGTACCATCGTGCTTTCTTAACCTCCCAGAATTTTCTTGCATAGGCGCAATGCAGCAAACATATATAAGCTTGGAGCTGTAAAACTCAACTCTCAAGAGATACATTAACTTTTACAAATACAATCTCACTAGCAACATGTAAGCTATATAAACTCAGATTTCTCTAAGTTCCTAACTTATCCTTTCAAATAATCTAATTGGTCATAAACTAATTCTCATTAAGATTTCCTAGAAGTGTTATTTTACATCTGGAACAAGACTCGGTACGGTTATCAGGACACCAAACATGAGCATTCCCCAACAAGTAAAGGCACAAAAAGGGGAAAATGGTGCGCCATGAAATTCACATCAAGAAGAGCATTCCCCAACAAGTAAAGGCACAAAAAGGGGAAAATGGTGCGCCATGAAATTCACATCAAGAATGAGACCGTGACCTTACAAATTCTTCTAGCCTATCCCACACCTCCAATGCTGCAGCTCTGTCTTGGTGTCGCTTGTTCTTGCTAATCTGCAAAAGGAAACATTATTTAAATTACTACAGGACGTTGCTGAAGAACAATAGGAAAGAATTAACTACAAGAGGCAATGCAAACAAAAATAAGCACAGAGACGGAGGGGGATTTCAAAATTTCAAAGATTGAATCAAGATTTAAAACAATGCAACAGGTTAGAGGGGGAGGATCAGGGAAGTAGAAGATTACCGAAATAATTTTAACATTCCACTGCTTCACATTCTTAGCTGATTCCATCAGGGAAGTAGAAGATTACCGAAATAATTTTAACATTCCACTGCTTCACATTCTTAGCTGATTCCAAACTGTCGTCTTCAAAACGCATAAAAAATCCAATAACTGCAAAACAGTCAACACGCTTATAAATGAATGGCAAATTTCTCTACTTAAAGAGAGTATTAAGGAACAAATCAACTAATTTGGGATCAATTGTTCCCTTACTTTTATTGAAAATCTCAACATGATCCTTAAAAGGCCAATCTTTGAATGGGATCAATTGTTCCCTTACTTTTATTGAAAATCTCAACATGATCCTTAAAAGGCCAATCTTTGAACTGCCATTCCTTTCCCAATACGAAAACAGCTACAACACGGTCCCAATCCTCTGATTTCAGAGCCGAGGGCTTATCTCTAACCTCGTAGGCAGTCACCACCCTATCTCTGTCCCTACTGAACTTCTTCTGCCGAGGGCTTATCTCTAACCTCGTAGGCAGTCACCACCCTATCTCTGTCCCTACTGAACTTCTTCTGCACGGTCACACAATCAGGCCTCGCCCCTTTCATCTGCTTAACCTTGACATCCGTGGGTATAAAAACACCATCTTCTAAAAACTCCTTTACATTATAAATTGTGATAAGAGTCTGAAAAGCACTCGGAACCAGAATTATAGGCACACCTTCTCCAATCTTCCCTCCTTTCAAGTGCATTTTCGGCTTCGGATTCGCATCATAACCCAAATCATCACCATATCCCCCCAAGCCCCTGTCATCAGAACCCATTAACCTACTCTTAGCAACTAAACCATCCTTCCTCTGTTGCGATTCAATACGCTGCCTCTCCTCCTCGCGCTTCGTGGAGGTCACAAGCACGTTATAGAAATTCCTATTCTTACATTCCAACAACGATTCCCTATCCTTCAACGGTCTCTCAATAGCCCTAATCATCGCCATATAATCAACATTAGTAGAATCCTTAAAACCGTCGTCCTCATCCACCGCATCTATAGCAGCGCCAACAATCACCGGATCTTCAGGGCGATACTCATCGACAGAGGGCAAATCGGGGAACTTGGGATTTTGCGGGACAAGAAACTCGATGGCGTCGGAGGAGGAGACCTTGCCAGTAAGATAATCAAGCAAAGGCTTCCGGTCGGGGAAAGTGACGGAAGAAATTCCCTGAGTGCGAGCATTCTGAAGGTACTCTGTGTGCTTGATATGGTGATTCTTGATGTAATAGACGAGGGTTTCTATAGTGTATAGATTGCCCTGTTTGGACCGGTAAGCGGTTTCGGCGGAGCAAGGGAAGGAATAGTCGGAGCCGAAACGGAACTCGCCGTTGACTCGGACGATTTTGTCGAGCTCGCCTCGAATGGTGAAGTCCCTGAGAGCTGAGAGAGGATCCATTACCAGTGCCGTACCTTTTTTTTCTCAGTGAATTGAGGAAGAAAGATCTTCCCAGTTGGTTTCATATTGGCGTCCGAGGATATTTTTGTAATTTCAATTTTTATTAGATGATTAAATTGGGCCTTTGAACTTGGCCCAGTAAAACTTAAAAAAGGAATATGGGCTTGGGCCGCACTTTTATTTTTTATTTTTTAAATTATAAAACGTGTGTTTTTCTAAAACTAATTGGACTAAATATATTATTGCGAACAAAAATAAATCTTAAATTATAAATTTATTACATTAATTTTTTTTCTTTCAATTTTATAAATAAATATTTCTAATTTTTTATTGTGTTTCTTTAGTACACAGACACAAAAACAAAATTAAAAAACTTATCATTTAACTAAATATAATTATAAATATGTATTTATTTATTTATTTATTTTTTGCTGACTTAAGGAGTCAATATAATTAGGTCGAGGTGGTTGATTCTGGCTAATAAAAACATTAAATTTATTTACAAATCAATTTTTATTTTCTATATATATATAAATATATTAACACTAAATTTATTTTTGGACATATTTGAATAAAATTAGCCTCAATGGAAATGAATTTTGAAAATTTGAGGCATTTCTTTGTCTAAAAGCATTTTAAAAATGGGAACCTCAATGGAAATGAATTTTGAAAATTTGAGGCATTTCTTTGTCTAAAAGCATTTTAAAAATGGGAAAAAATTCCACCTCGACAACCACGCAAAAGCAACCGAAATCGTCAAAATTCAATTCTTTTTCTAGGCGCAACCAAGAAGAGGGTCAGTTTAGTCATTTTATTCTAATTAAATCACAATTAATATTATAATCCAAATTAGGAACCTTAATTAAATATCCCTCCATGGTCTTCATTTTACACTCAAATCTCAATTTCTCAATCTCACGCTTCGAAAATCCAATTCTGCCCTTCCTCTCATTCCCTCCTTCCTTCAAGATACGTCGTATGCTGGCCCTTCTTGGCGCTGGAACATTCAACTGGAGTTGACGTTCGCGGTCGCTGAAAGAGGACATGTCCGTCGCTGTTCCCTTGTCGCAAATGGACGTGGATGACGAGTCTTTGCCTAATTCTTGGAGTAGTAAGATTATCATTTTGTTTTGTTTTGTTTGTAGGAGTACGCCATTTATTGGAGTCTTTGGAAATTGGAGCTTTGAGATTTGAATACGAACTGTTTGTCTTTTTTAAATTTTGTTTCGTTGCTAAGAATCGGTTTCATGGTGAATCACAAAAGATACTTCGGAATCCAGGATGAGAGTTTTTCAAATGTAATAAAGGTTCATTGATTGAGCGATTGCTATTGATGAAGAAAGAGGTTTCATTGGAGGAGCAGTTTTGCTTCTGATTTCGAAATAAGTTGTGTTTCGTAACTCATTTTTTCATTAGAATTGGGGTCAAATACTGCAGAGTAAAAAAGGGGGGGAAAAAGTCAGAATCTCCGGAGTTTAATTAGAATTGGGGTCAAATACTGCAGAGTAAAAAAGGGGGGGAAAAAGTCAGAATCTCCGGAGTTTAGGATGATCCCTCGCGTGCACACTGAAGGTTGATTAATAGATCGTGTATATGGATTTTCGACGAAGGAAATAGTTTTGGATTGAAGCTTTAATCTTATTTTTTGCCTTTTCTTATCATGAATTGGGAATTTTTAAAATCATCCATTTGTTAATTTCTAGAGGAATTAGATGCAAAAGAGCTCTAATAGCTTGTAAATACGACATTGATGTGATTCTCAAGCTTTGGACGCTTTAGCGTTGCATTTGGTTGCTACTCATCATATTATATCAAAGCCAGCACACTATGAATGTACCTGCTTTAGCGTTGCATTTGGTTGCTACTCATCATATTATATCAAAGCCAGCACACTATGAATGTACCTAATCACTTGTTTCCCCTTATTGTTCTATTGCTTGTATGATCCAGGTAATGACAGGGAAGGGATGCCCTCATACAGTGGTCAAAATACGGCTCATAAGAAGAAATATTATCCAAGCACCATTAAATTTTTTGGGGTGGACCTATCCCCAGATAATGTGGCTGTCGCCATGGTCTATTTTGTTCAAGGGGTTTTAGCCTTAGCAAGGCTTGCTGTTAGTTTTTACTTAAAGGGCCATGGTCTATTTTGTTCAAGGGGTTTTAGCCTTAGCAAGGCTTGCTGTTAGTTTTTACTTAAAGGATGACCTACACCTAGATCCGGCAGAGGTACATACTATAAGTCCTGTGATCATGAATATTTAGGTCTTACTTACAAATTTATGATGTTCAGTGTTGACCTACCTTAATGGTGCGTGCTGACAGTTGTATGGTCTTACTTACAAATTTATGATGTTCAGTGTTGACCTACCTTAATGGTGCGTGCTGACAGTTGTATATTATGAACTTTTGACGTTTGTTTTCTGCTCGATATTCTTATGTATAACTCTTCTTTATTCGGTGTCATAGAGTCATTTTCCTTTGTGATGAAATTTTCAATGAAGTATATTATCGCTATATTCTTTCGGTGTCATAGAGTCATTTTCCTTTGTGATGAAATTTTCAATGAAGTATATTATCGCTATATTCTTTAAAATGTTTTCAACATGTGTTTAAAGGTTACTTTAGTTTCAGAATTTTGTTTTGATCAACGCAAAAAGATTGTGGTAATTAGGTATCTGATAAATATTATTTATTGACTAGACAGCTGTAGTATCTCGCAAAAAGATTGTGGTAATTAGGTATCTGATAAATATTATTTATTGACTAGACAGCTGTAGTATCTGGCTTTTCTGCTTTTCCGTGGCTTGTCAAACCTTTATATGGGTTTATCAGGTATAAGTGTTTTTCTTCTTTGTTTCTCTCTTTACCTGAGTCTCCAACCTGGCTTCCTCAGTCTCACCCAAACACCAAATGGAAGAAAATTAATTTTCTAATGAGCTTTTGGGCAAATGCAGCGATTCTGTTCCTCTTACACCAAATGGAAGAAAATTAATTTTCTAATGAGCTTTTGGGCAAATGCAGCGATTCTGTTCCTCTTTTTGGTTATCGGAGGAGATCATACTTGATTTTATCAGGACTGCTTGGTGCACTCTCATGGGCTCTGATGGCCACCTTTGTTGATAGCAAATATGGTGCAGCTTTCTGTATACTTCTTGGATCTCTTTCTGTAGCATTCTCAGATGTTGTAAGTGTCTTTTGCTTTGCGTTTATTTCTCTCTTTCTATCAAAGTACTTTTTTAGTGATGCTAGATGTGCTTTTTATGGAGACCAGAATTTAGGCTGGCATCTTAATAATTCATTGTTTAAGTGATGCTAGATGTGCTTTTTATGGAGACCAGAATTTAGGCTGGCATCTTAATAATTCATTGTTTACATAAACTTTTCATTTAAGTATTTGGAACTTTGATCCTTAGTTTTGAGTGTGAAATATGGTGCATGGACCAAGTCCCACAGTGGACCAGATCCCAAAACTATGCTTATCATCGAACTTCCCAACTCCCTTGGTGTGTAACCACCCCACCGTAACAAATTACCAAGTAATTAAATTTAGGCTACCACTGATATACTAATAAGATTCCAAATATTTTTCTATTAATACTCTAATAAAATGGTAGGCAACCTTCAATACTCCTTTTTGCACATTGCAGTAGCAGCCATAATACTTTGAGGCCCAGCTTCGCATTTGACCTTCTTGCTGATATGGTTGCAGTTTCACTGAAACCTTCATAAGGTTCCCCGTCTCTATGATACTTGTCAACGTTAACTTTCATTAGTTGCTTAGCTTGCATGAGTTTGAACTAAGCCATCCACCACAGTGTCTCTGTACCGTGGATGCTTGTCAGTTGAAGATACTGTGGAAGTAATAGATATACAATGCACCAAGGGAGGAGTGGGTTGACCAGTGAATAGCTGCTCTAGAGGGATCATGGTGGAAACTTGATACAAGGTGTGGTGTCATTTTCTTTACCTGTGATATCCTAAAGCATCTCAAATATTAGTTTTGTCCCTAAATATCTCAATGACCTCTGGTATCCCCATGGTGTTATGATTTTCTTTGCTTTAGATCAGTCTCCCTCGATTGTAAAGAACTCTCGCCAAAAAATGATTGTTAACACACATAATCATTGGTGAATAGGTTAGCCATTGAAGGAGTGTAAGGATCTTAAAGTCCTCAAATTTCTGTATTTTGTGAAGTGATTGACCATTGTTATGATGGAGTCCTTACCCTCAATGAGGTAGTCCTTCAATGAAGTACACGCCATCCCAAGGCAAATGAGAAATGGGCAGAGTTTGCAATAGCCTAGTTGAGGACCTTACCAAATATTTGTTGTTCTGGCAGACGTCATGCTGT